TATTAGTGGATTTTGTTGGAGTAAATTGTAATAACTAATAATAAACCAATTAGATGGAGTTGGTACCAATGAGATTTTAATTAGATTGTTATTAGGAAAATGATAATAAAATCATTTTACGAACGGTATATTGATGGATTACGACCATATATTTTTTACTGACATTTAGGTCAAAGAAATAATAATATTATAATGCATTCTTATTAAATATCTAATTGGAAAAAAAAAATGAAGACCCTATAAAATAAAAACAAAGCAGCCCATTGTTTTACTCGAAAAAACAATTGGAGGACGTGGTTTGACTTTGACAAACATTTATATGAAATATTATTCAATTTTATTGACTGCTATGAATGAGCCAGCCCAATTGAAAGTTAGAATAATAATAATAATAATAATAATAATAATAATAATAATAATAATAATAATAATAATAAATTATTGAGATTCAATTATTGAGCCAACACTACTATTTCTAGTTCATTCACGCATTTGAGTTCAAAATCTATGCTTCTTTTCATTTATATTTTATTTTTTTGGGAAAAATACGTTAGTGGTATACATGAAAAGTGGAATAAATATAGAGTCCATCAAAATTCCTCCAATGATTTTCTTTTGCAAGCAAAAATGTTCTATCCATAAATATAGATTTTAAATTAAATTAGTTGCTCATAAGTTCGGAGATGGAGTTCGTTTATCGGCATGGTTAGAAAAAAAATTATATAATTTTTTACAAATTTAATTTGTTATAACTTGAGTTGTCTCATTAAAGTTCGAATTTGACTCATAAATTATATTAATAAAAAGTTGAGATTAATAAGTTCGTTTCATTAACGAGTCAGAGTCTCAATCCCGAACTCGAGTATCATAAGTTATTCTTAGATATAACCAAATTGCATAACACTAAATCTTAGTAAATGTATTTAGTTAGTTATAAGTTCTTATCCAAACCTTAGCTAAAGGGCAAGAGCATTAACTGTTTAACTAAACATAGATAAAGTGAATAAATAAAATTAACCAAAAAAAATAAATTAATAAAATAAAATCATTTGGATAAGAGCAAAATCTTTGTGACCCCACTTTTCCCTTTACCCTATTTTTCAGTTCGCCACAAATTTTTCCTCACATTCTCTCCTTTTTCTTCGTTTTTCCATCTCTCAAACTTGAAGACAACCACACAAACCCCACACTCCTAATAATTCTTTCTTTTTTCTTCCTCTTTTCTAATCACTTTTTATTGATTATTACACCTTAAATTGGGGTTTTCTTGATTTGTTCTTGTTTTCTCTTGTCCCTTGCTGATTATTAAAGACAAAAAGAAAGGTTTTTTTTAGCCTCAACAAACACAAAAAGATTACATTTTTTCTTGTGGGTTCTGTTGTTTCTTGTGTTCCTTGTTCCTTGTTTTGCTGATTAAAGGAAAAAAATTAAAAAAAAAAGGTTCTTGAGCCTCAACAAACATAAAAAGATTACATTTTTCTTGTGGGTTCTGTTTGATTTTTCTGATATTAGCTTGAAAAATTCAAATTAAAAGTGAAAAAAAAAGCTTGAATCTTGTTCAGACATGTCTTGCTGCTTGAAATCTGGTGTTTCTGTGAGTGGGTCCAGTGAGATTATGGCCAAGAACAGAGGCAGAGAGCTTCTTCTTCCTCTTGAAATTGGGAAATCACTCCCCAAGGGTGTTTTGGGCAGAAATTTTAATGTCTCAGATCAGAAACTTGTTAGCAGCTACAACATTAAATCCCCCCAAATGGATCTTGTTAATGTATGAATCTGCAAAAATTCATTTTTTTTTTTATTTTTTATTTTTTTTTCTCTTAATTTTTGACACTTCTGTAAGTTTTTAGTCTAATACAAGTGCTTATGTTCTGTTTGGCAAAATTATTTCAGGCCCAGCCATCAGTGTGTGTAAGCAAAGCCCTGAGATGGTGGGAAAAGTTTCTTCAGCCAAACATGGTAGAAATCCAGTCAGCACAGGAGCTTGTTGATTCATTGTTGAGTGCTGGGGATAAATTGGTCATATTGGACTTTTACTCACCTGGCTGTGGAGGTTGCAAGACTTTGCACCCTAAGGTACATTATTAGCTTTTGCAAAGATTTGATTTTTGAACACCTTTTAAGGTTTTAGTTTGTTTATTGTTCTCCCTTCCATTAGTTTTTTGTATTGTATTGCCTTACTATCAGTCAGGAATTAGGACAAGAAAGTCCCTGCCAAACTTTGTGTTAATTGTTGTGTACAAATTGTTATTTACCGAGTACCGAATCGAAGGATTCGTTTCCCGGGTCGATCTAACGAGGAAGGTTAGCTGGATTACTTTGCACGTATATTCGACCACAAAAAGAGAAATTAAATTCCTAAACATTCTAATATTGGTGTGATTTTTAATTAACTACGAAGATCAAAAAATGCAATTTCGGAAAGCATAGGAAAAACAATTAATCAACGAGAATAAGGTAGTTAGGGAGTCGGGGATAATAATCTTGGTTCGATACGCAATTATCGGGAAAATACCCAGAAGATTTTGGAATTTGCCACAAAAGAAAAAAAAATGACAATCTAACTTGTTTGATAATTAGTACACAAACTCTTGATAGCTTTACCCTTCATTCACCAAAAGAAGTTACACAAATTATTTTTCTGAGGCTAACTAACGGTTAGGCGGTTCGACCCATCTTACCTTTTGAACACAAATTGCGTAATTTTGAGACAAAAGAACTTACACAAGTTCTTACATTTGACAAACTAACGGCTAGGCGGGTCGACTCATCATACTTTTCGAACAAAAATTCTTATATTGGATTAGTTGTATATATATAATATAACAATTTTCTGTAACAGATATGCCAGCTGGCCGAAAAGAACCCGGGCGCGGTTTTCATGAAGATAAACTATGAAAGAAACAAGGCAATGTGCTATGCCTTACATGTCCATGTCTTGCCATTCTTTAGATTCTATAGAGGTGCTGAGGGCAAAGTTGGTAGCTTTAGCTGCACTAATGCCACCGTAAGCAAATGAAATCGACTCGAAAAACTTTTCGTGGATTTTATTTCATTTTTTTTTTTATTTTTTTGAACAATGTAAGGGAGATATCTGAAATTATTATTGATTTTTTGTTTATGTGCAGATCAAGAAATTTAAGGATGCGCTTGCGAAACACGGTAATGATCGATGTAGTCTTGGCCCGACAAAAGGGTTGGATGAGTCGGAGGTTTTTGCATTGGCATCGATCGGCTTGCTATCGGGAGGCTCGGGACTAAGTTCGACTAACGATAATGATAAGAGGAAAGATTTGGTTGTTGATGAAAATGAGTTGTGCAAACAGGGTAGTGCCATGGTTATGGCTTTTAGCTAGAAATAGATTCAAGAATTCAACACCATGAATTAGGTTGAGATTTTATTATAATTGTTATTGTTATTAATATTTTTATTTTTATTTTTTTATTTTTTGTGGTGTAAATAATTCATATGTGATTTTTATTATTGTGGTGTAAATGGCTCAAGTTTTTTTTTTTTTTTTTTTTTTTT